ACAGGAGGAATTCTCTAAAATTTCAATTCAGAAGATATTTACAAATATCCCATACTTGATTACAAAACATATTACAATTTTAGGTAACTATCGCAGAATTTTCTCACAGTTCTTTACACTTGTAACCAGAAAACAAGATCCATAATGTAAAATAGATGAAAACACATCAAACAGATATAAGTAGAGACATAATAATTCTGTTAGGTTACATGACGCATGTTATTTTCATTTTTTTATTTTTGAGACAGAGTCTTCCTCTGTCACCCAGGATGTAGTGCAGTGGCATGAACTCAGCTCACTGCAGCCTGGACCTCTTGGGCCCAAGCAATGCTCCTGCCTCAGCCTCCTGAGTAGCTGGGAGCACTGACATGAGTCACCATGCCCAGCTAATTTTTATATATTTTTGTAGAGTCAGGGATTTCACTATGTTGTCCAGGCTAGTCTGGAATTCCTGTCCTCAAGCGATTGTCTCACCTTGAACTTCCAAAGTGCTAAGATTATAAGCATAAGCCACTGCATCACACTTTTTGTTCATGTTTTACTGTACAAACACCACCATTAGAAAATCAATTTTAAACATAATATTATTAGATTTTCAGCTCTTTGTATAAATTCTTACTTGTATAAACTAGAAGCAGAGAGTCTAATCTTAGAATCTGATTGATTTATCCTAAAGTATTACAGCAATAAGCTTTCTGATTGTGACTCACTAGCAATGTAATCTTTTTTTTTTTTTTTTTAAGTGAAAGAAAATTTGCAGGAGATGATGCTGAAGAGGTAATCAGGGGCTAGATTATACAGGACATTATAAACTATGGCAAAAATAAAACAAATACTTTTTATTTGGATTAATGGGGAGACAATGAATGCATTTAAGTGAGGTTTACATGATCAAAAGTGTTTACAAAGACCAAATCTATCAACATCATGAGGAATAGATTTTAGAAGCACAAGCCTAAATCAGGAAGACCAACTTGAATGATTTTGAAGGAAGCCCAGACAGTATAGTTTGTAGAGACAGAATTTAAGGAACAGTATCCACAAACTTGGTCATGGAATTGTTAAAGGAGACAGGCAACTAAAGCAGTAAGTCAAGGATGACTCTGATGATTGGGCAACTGACTATATTGATGGAGGTGTCATTTGTGGTTAGGCAATTAGAAGAAGAAAATTAGCATTGCCTCCACAATCATCTTAAAACATTTATGAATTGAGAATATTGTCTATTACATACACCCCTCAAATTACCATTCTTCACGTTATGTTATATAACTCATTTGTATCATATACGGTGTATACAAAAGAACCTTTAAAATAATAAAATGAAAAAGAAAATCTGTGGACTGAAACTACATTTGAGCTTATTATGAAATTCTTTCTTTCTTTTTTTGCACATAAGAACTTTTCAAGTTCTGTCAAGTTCACAGTTGCCTTGATGTTAACAAATGTATGATCAGTCTCCATTTTTTTCTGTCTCAATTTGTATAGATTCAATATAGATTCATCAAATTCTCGGTTCTTCTCTCTGAAGTCTCCAAACTACTTTTAAACAGATTCAGTGAATTTAACACTTATAGTATTGAATATTTCAGCTTCAGAAATTCCATTCAGTTCTACTTTATAACTTCTACTCATCTCTTCATTCTGTTCAACTTTTCCTTCATTTCCATACATTGCTATATATATGTACACACACATATATATTTATATACACACACGTATACATATATGTATACGTGTGTGCATATATATATATATCCTTTATATGTAGCAATAGCTAGCTCATATTTCTCCTGCTTCTTGACATAACAATTTTATAGGAGATGCTAGACAATTTGAGAGAGCTGTATTTTGTTCTGATTTTTTATATATCCATACACTTTATTCTTGCTGGCACTTAAGTTATTTGCGGGACATCTGGATCCTTTTGAAACTTGGTTTATGTCTTGTTGTGGTAGATCTCTTACAGCCTCCACTCTAGGGATAGCTTAGTCCTGGTCAAAAGGCATGATAATCTGTGGTCTTTCCTTAAGGGCCAAAGTGTTTAACAAAGCTTTCCTTCTGTGGCTGTTTCAAACTTAAATTATTCCATGTCTGAGTGAATTGTTGTTTTCATTGACAGCTCCCATCTTTTTTTTGCCCCCATACTGGAGAGTTTCACTCAAGGATCCTTGAGTAGATCTATGATTTTTCTCTGCATAGCTCCATCTTCTCTGTTCCTCTGATCACTAGTATCAGCTGCCTCAGGCTTATCAAACTCCAATTTCTAGCTACTAAATTTAATAATTTGCTATTTTTTGCTTGGTTTTTCTATTCTTTTACTGTGACTCAGAGAGTGCCTCCAGAAAGCAAGGGTAATTATAAGGCTTGCTTCATTTTTTTTCTCCCTTTTCAGACCCTACAGTCTTATGCAGCATGTTGATCAATGTCTAAAAGCACTTGATTCTTATATTTTATCTACTTTTTCATTTTCCATTATGGGACATCATGTCTAGCTCTTGCTATTTCATCAAAGCTAGAAATGTCACACCTAACTTTAAACGACACCTAGAGTCCTGATATGGTTCAGCTGTGTCCCAGACAAATCTCATTTTGAATTCCCATGTGTTGTGGGAGGGACTCAGTGGGAGGTAATTGAATCATGGGGGCAGGTCTTTCCTGTGCTGTTCTCATGATAGTGAATAAGTTTCACAAGATTTGATGGCTTCGTAAGGCGGAATTTCCTTGCACAAGTTCTCTGTTTTTGCCTGCTGCCATCCACGTAAGCTGTGACTTGCTCCTCCTTGCCTTCCACCATGATTGTGAGGCTTCCTCAGCCACGTGGAACTGTTAGTCCAATAAACTCTTTTTCCTGTATAAATTACCCAGTCTCAGGTATGTCTTTATCAGCAGCATGAAAACGAACTAATACAAGTCCCGATTGCTTGTTTGGTCTGGGAATATGATGTGCTTCTCTGATTATTATTTTGTTCACTAATAAATATGAATCTGGAAGATGCTATCACATGTTCACCAAAAAACGTTTCACTTTTCTCCTTCTATAATTGCAGTAAAATGGCCACACGACTCTCTTCTGGCTAAACAGATTATGGATAGATGTTATGGTGACCACTTTGAGGCTTATCCCATAAAATGCTGCTCCAAAGTCCTCTACCCATTTCCTGTCCCCGTCCATTGAATAAATGCAGAATAATCAAAGGACACACAAAATAGGCACACAAAATGGAAGACTGGTGAAGAACACTCATGTTGGATGAGTACAATAAGCTATGTAATTCTCTGAAATTTTAGGGTTTCAGCACATCGTCTACTTGCAGGAATAATAATTACAATAATAATATCTACACATCATATTATTTTCATGACAATGCAATTAAATAAAATTAGAAAAATAGAAAACATTAAAATAGAAATATATTAAAAATAGAAAACATATTAAAATAAACATATTAAGTGCCTATTAAAGACACCTCTTGTTGTTGTTACTATTATTCTCATTAATCCTACTATAGATCTTACAATTTTTAGTAAAATCACAATATGTATTTCAAATTAAGATTAGCAGGCCAGATAGTATTTCATAAAGTAAATGCAAAAAAATGCACTGAATTATATATTCATCCATACGTGTGCAAATATATGTAGATTTTAAGCTCTTACCACATTTTTATATTGATTTCGAATGGCAAATTTATTAAATAAATGGAAATGTATTAAAAATAGGAACTTGTAAGGCTAGTATAGATGGGTTCATTAAAACCATCATACTCTTTGCTATGCCTAATCAATGATATGTTCTGCCATTAGAGACTGGGGCCTGAATGGCTTCTCAGACTTACTATGTATACTCAACTTGGCGAGAACAATCATCTAGAATCACAAATTGAGAATTCCATGCTGTTGAAACTATCGAAAGTAACAGTGAATCGACTATGATGACCTGTGAGCAGAGAGAAATAATTATTTTTTCTTCTATCTCCAGGCTTTCTCCTTGAGGTGTATTTTCTGTTATTAGGAATTAAGTAGACCTTAAATGTCACTTGAATTCCTCATCTCAGCACTGCACTTGCATGGTTAAGCCTCTATAAGAGTTAGCAATGATCTGAGGTTGCTCTTAATAAGAGCTGTGTTTAAGTCAAATCAGGGTGAAGTGGGTGTTTATGAAGGTGGCAGTTACTTTAACATTCAGATTAAACAGGTTGCGTGGTCTCTTATGCAAGGTACAGGGTGCCATTGCTCATTGTGGTATGTTCCAGGTCCTATCTGATTCATTGCAGTTCCCCCAACAAATGAACATCTTGAACATACTGTGAAAGCATAGCTGACAAAATTACTTACTGTTGGTAATATGGTAAAAAATCATGTATTTATGAGCCAAATTATCAAAGTAAGTAGTTGATAGTGATGTTTCCCAGACTGGCATTTTATTTATTAGTGGTTTCATACTTTTAGTTAAAGAAAAAATTTTTTAAAAATTGTTGCTCAGTATTTGTTTATATCTTAGTAAACTGTTCATGCCAACAAGCTCAGATAACAAGTTTTTACTCTTCGTACCTTAGAGAAAAGATGAATATTTTTCTATTGACTAGAGAAACACTTTCTAACTTTGGTGACCCCTGGTAAATACCTAGAAAACTGACATGTCTCTTAGGAGTCACTGAAATGGAAACATGTGAAGAGCAGGTCACAGATATGAACACTTCAGGTTAATCATGTAACTATTTCATACGGTGCTTGGAATATACATGTAAAAATAATGATGCACTGAAGACAATGTGTGTCTTTAAATTTATGTAGAACAATAAAATATATATGTCACATCTATTATATATAAATTTGTGTGTGTATATAACAGTAAAACAATAAATAATATAAATAGTATAAGAATATTTTAATGGATCTTATTTGAAGGGCTTAACAAAATTATCTAGTTCGAAAATGATTTGCAGTTCTCCTGATTGTGTCTCTACCTGTCTTTTTCTTTTTCTAAAAATCTATAGAACCAGAGCAAATCAATTGTCTAGCAGCTAGGAGGTCTTCTTCACCACAGAACTATGGCTCTCTTCCTTCGGGTTTAAGGATCTTTCAATTTGGTAAGTCTTCACTGTCTAATAAACATTTAACAACTTCCTACCACGTGCAGGCCCTCTCTAGGGGCTGGGAAGACAATGGTAAAGAAAGACAGGCCGGGCATAGCGGTTCAGGCCTGTAATCCCAACACTTTGGGAGGCCAAGGAGGCAGGATAACTTAAGCCCAGGAGTTCAAGACAAGCCTGAACAATATAGTGAGACTTTACTAAAAAAAAAATTAGCCAGGCATAGTGACACACACCGATGGTCCCAGCTACACAGGGAACTGAGGTGGAAGACTGCTTGAGTCAGGGAGTTTTAGGCTGCAGTGAACTGTGATCACTCCACTGCACTCCAGCCTGGGTAACAGAATGAGACCTTGTTTCAAGAAAAAATAAAATGAAATAAAATAAATTTTTTGAAATAACATGTAGATTTCCTGCTCTCCTGGAAGGTGTAGGCCAATGGAAGAGATGTTAGCTTAATGAAATCACAAAAATATGTAAACTAGCACATATGATAACTGCTATAAGGGGGTCTGGTATGTGGTCATGTGAGAATGTAGAATAGGCAAATTTGTCTGTATAAGGACAGTTAGAAAACACTTTCTTCTTTAGAAATGAACAATTTGTTTAAAATCTACATAAAATAATTAATTTGGTAAAGAATAAAACAAAAGTTTTCTAAGCACAGCAAACATACATGTACAATTTATTTTATGGACCTGGAAATTAATTTCCTTCACATGGAATGAATTTTTTCTTAACAAAAATCAGGACCTCTACTTGTCTTATTTTTGTAAACCTAAATGGGGAAAGCAAAATGAAAATGAAGCCTCAATTCTGCTAGAAAGTATGCATATTTTTTATTAGTCAATATTGTTTGCTTTAAAGATGAAGTTAAATTTTGACGTGTAGGTTTCCCCTGGAAATAATTAATGTATTTTCTTTTTTATATCTATTTGATTTGAACTTCTCTATTTTGATGACAACAGTAATAATATTATAGTTCACAAAGTTAGCAAACAAAATAAAAATTGTCAAAAGTTTTGTTGCTTGACATTGATATACATGCATTAAAGAACAACAAGATTCTACAGCACGCATTGAGGGAATTTGAACTGGAGTATTTCATTTGCTTACCAGATCATCTTTAGCAAGTTTCAAGTCATTAATACTCTGAGATGTAGTAAAGGAAGAGAAATCACAAATCAACTTTCAAGTCACCTAAGAATAATTAACCTTCAGATAGGTTTAACACTACTCTAATGTGCTTGTTTTTAACTGCAGAGAAATCAGCTGTGTTTGCTACTAAGCAGCACCTCCTACAACACAGGAAAATCCATTATCAGTTGGCATCAATACTCCATTGTTAAATGGCAGATAGGTGAGGTAGCCACCTGCTTAGGTAACACTTGAGGTGACTGATTGGATGACCTTGCATCATACAATAAAATTTATTTTATTTTTATGGCTCAAGTTATTTACTAAACAATCTGAGTAACTGATGAATTTCTCATTGTCAAACTATTTTGCAATCTGGACATTTTTCTTCTCCAGAAAGTGAAGCTGATGCCTGAATTTCATTCAAATTCCCTAAGATTTATTGCTATGAACTATGAAGCCACACCTCTTCCACATATATATATATAAAATATATATATATTTGCCATATATAAAAATATATGGCAATGTATTTGCCAATATATAATTGGTGACTTTTAAGCCAGTGGAAAATAATTGAGGATTGATGGCAGTATCCTTTATATCCATTGATACCCACAGGTTACAATGACAAAAGAGTTTCTTGTCCAAGAGTAGCAAACCAAATTTGTTGTCAAGATCACAGATGGCATACACTTTTCTTACAGTCAAAACTTTGCTTGACAAAGAAACTCTTCACCACTTCAAAAGCCTCAATTGCCTTTGCAGTTTTCCGAAGGAGTTCATAAAAATTGAATTTTTGATGCTGTTAGCATGCATCATATAATATGCAACAGCATATTATAGAGGAAAACAAAAGTTTATTGCACTAAGGGACGTCAGTAGATATTTTTCGTAGTTGAATGATGAAAGAAAATGGTGTCATTGTAATTCCTCCATGCCCAGCATCAGTCTCAAAATGTCAGCAGACACATAATGGATGTCATCAGTTATTGGAGGTGTGCTTCAATTTTCTTCCCCTGCTCAAAGCCACAAACTAGATTAATTCATACGCCTAAGTCTACTAAGGTCCCACCTGTCATGGGTCCCACTGTGACAAGGCAATAAATCGTGAAGTGTAATTCAAGTCGAAGTTTTTCGATTGGAAAAAAAACCCAGGTGTTAGTACCTTACCAGCAAATTCCAGACTGAGACTCTATCTCTCCAAAAATGATTCACAACATCTAATGTATTTCTCAGGATAGGAAAAGGCAAAGGACTTCTTCAGGTTTTATTACCTCAGACTTCCACTTTCAGGAAACTTGCTACAGAATAAGCTTCATTTCTTATGTGTTCATTTACATTAAGAAATCAAACTAGAGGCTGGGCATGGTGGCTCATGCCTATAATCTCAGCACTTTGAGAAGCCAAGATAGGCTGTCATAGTTTTCAGTTTAACTTTGCAGAGAAACTGATCTTGTAATCTTAAAGTTAAAATGAGCCTCTGAAGGTAAATTAATATAATCAAGGATATTTCTCAATGCAGTGGTTGCTTCCTTATTGTATTTACAACAGTGTTTTTTTCTGGACTCTGACACTTTTTTTAGTGTTAACTGGCTAAACACATTTATGATGAGCATTATAATCAAACTCATTATTTTCATTGTCAATAATGTGCCAAGTACTGTACAATTGCTATGTCAAACTCTATTTATATCTGCTTTTTTACATATACATGTCTATTCACTGAGTGGGGAAGAAAGAGATAGAAAGAAGACAACCCCACAGTTACTGTTATCTTCACCTAAAAGTAAGGAAACTAAGGCTGTATCTACTCAAAAAACCTTAAGGCCTCTTACCCTAAAGTAGTTATTCATGTTCCCAAAAACGTGTATATTGTGATTTATACATGAATTTATATTTTCCAATTGACATCATAATTTCAGATTTAATAAATCACTGTTTCTAAATCCTTTATAGCATCTAACATTTCAAATTCAATTTGTTGTGGACACCAGACCCCTTTTTATATATGTATAACTTTTTTGTGGCTAAATTAGGAAAGTCTGTATTACAAAATTCCAAGTAATTCAATTCAATAGAAAATCCACTTACTTTTTAAAAAACCAAACCAAGTTCTTAAAAACTGCATACCAGTATAGAAAAAAAATTTAATTATTTAAATAAACCTGGTTATACAATCTGTTAGTAAATTGAATTTTCTTATCACATGAATCACAGCTACTATCTATTGTTTATCAACATCCATTTTCTAATCACTGTGTGTGTATGCTATATATATATAAAAAATATATATATATAGCATAATAGTTTTATTTTACATTCTCAACTATTCTATGAGGTAAATACTCTTATTTCCATTTTACAGATGAGAGAATGGAGGTTACAGATATGATGTAATTTGGCCAACACTACAAAAGTGGGTATTTTACAGAGATAAATGAGTATTTGAAGCTGGATATGACTAATTCAAAATCAGAGATCTTAAACCATTCCTTTGATCCATTAGAAAATACATCTATTAAGTTATGCTTATATTTATAGCACAAAAAGTATAGCTGGGCAGGTGTGGTGGCTTACGCCTGTAATCCCAACACTTTGGGAGGCCAAGGCAGGGGGATCACCTGAGGTCAGGAGTTCGAGATCAGCCTGCCCAACAGGGCAAAACCCCATCTCTACTAAAAATACAAAAACTTAGCTGGACTTGGTGGTGGGCTCCTGTAATCCTAGCTACGTGGGAGGCTTATGTAGGAGAATCACTTGAACTTGGGAGGCTGAGGTTGCAGTAAGCCAAGATTGCACCACTGCACTCCAGCCTGGGTGACAAGAATGAAACTCCGCCAAAAAGAAAAAAAAAAAAAAAAGCCTAGGGATGCTATAGTTAACGCTATCTTTAAAAATTAAGAATTTGCTAGTGTTTCATTTTCAATAAACTTAAAATTAAAGACTATTGGCTGGTATTGCCTGGGTTCTAGAAGATGTTTGGGGTATTGCCAACATAGGAATCGTTTCTTTTGGTTATTTGTCTTTGCTTTACATTCTATCAGGGCCATTCATCCACTTACTCTATAGGCAACTTTTTAAAATCTATTATGTTCTTTCCTAGACCCAAAAGATTAAATGATGAATATGATAAACAGGTTTGTGCCCTCATGGAATTTGCTACCTGGATGTAAAACTAAACTAATTACAAACATATTACAACAGTATTTTCTCACATGGTGTTTGAGTTTCCTAAAATATGAATGTTCAGAGAAAAGTCAATAATTCATGATTCCTACACATTTTACTATAATTAATCAGAAATTTACTAACTGGGTCTCTTAAATTAGAGCTTACTTATTAACTAAAAGTCTCTTTTAAAAGTATATTCAGGCATCCTCCTAATAGTACATAGTATGCACTTGGAAATTTTGCCTCTTTACCCTGCCTAAAACAGTTATGTTGCAAATGAGCCTCTCTCAAGATCAACCTAAATAAAAGGCATATGATTTAAGAGTCCATTATTAATCAACTTTACTTGAAATCACACTTTTTAAAGAAAGAAAAACTATTTACAATTATAGGCATCATGTGCTTATTAGTCTATCATTTTCAAATTTAAAAAAAATTCTTTTCTACTAATTACTTATAATTTATGCCAGGCAGAGGGCAGGTTTCTTTCCCTAAGGCTATCCCCAGAATACTTAACTGCATTTACCAGAATACTCTGAATGCAGTTTTCCTTTTGTGTTTCTCAGATCTTAATATGAACTATTTGGCAAACAAATGGATTACATCTAGGCTACTATTTAAATTACTAAAAATCTGGAACAACTCATGGGATTTGCAAAGAAATCCAACTTAGCACAATACTGTAT